GTTGTTGAAGTTTTGTAGTAGTGACGAAAAGAGGAAATATTGTGTGGATATTACAGGGTTAATGAAGATTGGCCAGGAATTTTGATAGCATTTTGCATTACACGAGTGTGTATTCTATTCATTTTTCATTTTTGTTCCTACATGTACTATGTCTACAGGCAGGGTGATAAATCAGAACCAGCCCCTCACAGCACATATGTCTAATGTACCGGTATGTTGTCCTAATATTGAGATTTACCTGACTATGTGAATTTCATGGGCTAAGTTTTAAACCCTTCCACTTTCTAAGATCTGTTATCTTTGATAGAAACAGTAAAGCCACATGAAGGTTTCGTTTACGATGTACAGTCTGTTCAGATATGTCAAAAAATCGTCAATAAGTTAGTCTTTGTTTTTACTTGGATATTTTTGTTTTTAAGTTGCAATAAAGGAAATTATGCATTGCATGCACCTTGTGTGAGACACGGAGAGCTAAAACACTTGAGTTGATGCTTCTGATATGGACACATGCTTTTGAGGCAGTCACTATTACAGTGCATGAACTTAGACCCTGATTATTTGTCCAGAACAGAAGACATCATATTTGAAGGATTTAGTGCTATGAATGCAACACCTTTCAACCATCTGTCAGACTGGATGGGGATCCACAGACTTTTATTTTAGTGGGCAAACCAAACTCTTCAGATAGATGTGAGCACGTCTTAAAAACATGAGAGTCACAGGTTGCATAGCCACTTTTGAGCTCAAGGCCTTCAAAAAAAACTCACAAAAAATTCTTGCAAACAATCTGTAAATCAGCAGGAACGCTCATCACCTTTCACCCACCTGTTGTCCATTTTGATCAGGATGCCAGGCTGAGCAATCAAAGAGCTCAGTTCAGTCTTTCTATTGCAAACTAAAACTAAATATGCATGACTGAAGAAAGGCCTTACATGTAGAACTCATTTTGGGGATTCTGTTCCATACTGGCTCTTTTGTTTTGATTCCAGAATTGTACACAGGGAAGTAGAACAAGTCCAAATGCAGTCAACTCAGTGACTGGCAGTGAAACGGCAACCTCAGCACAACAACGTTCACCTAATCAGCAAGAAACTTCCACCAATTACGATGTCAGAGAATTCCACACAGAGCAACCGACAGCATCCAGTACTATGGTGTACCACGTTAATGCTGTCCCCTCACTGGTGGCTCACAAGGCCTACTGCACAGAAGTCCCCAGACCAAAGCCAGCCAGTAATCCTATCCCAGTTGACAGAGAACTTGCGGCCAAGACAAATGCCTTGATGAATAAAAACTTGCATGAACTGGCTGCGGAATGGGACAGTTTCCGATGAATGTTACCGATGAATGACTGATATTTCCTTAAAACATTTGCCACAAAATCCATCCATCAACCTTTTTGGTTTTACTGAGAATAGTCACTATGACCCCCATATACCAAACTGAACTAAATTGAAAAGGGTTCGGCTTAAGCAATTGGGCAATTTGACATGGAATGACCACTCAACCGTGAATGTTTTCCTGCCAAGAGAAACTTAGTTTGCCTGCAAAATCATTTGAAATGGGTAAATCATTCAAAATTCAATTTGGCCAGGTAATGTTCTTGAGTTTTGCACAGTATTGATCCTTGCAACAGCTGTCTGTAGGTAAATCCTTACACGTACTGTGAGAACCCTGTTCCTAACACACAGTAGACTTACGCCTATCTATCTTCAGCTGTCAAATTAGCAATAGTTTCCAGTAACCTTACTCACAAAATGACTTCTACATCCTCCACTTACGTAGAAAGAAAACTTTCCATGGCTGCAAAGGTACTTTATACTGAAAACACCTTGTAAGAAGTTAAAAATTTAACTGAAACAAAACATAAAGACGTCCTGAAGATAAGGATTACTGCATGTAAACCTACAACTTCAGCCATGTGAATATGGCGGGAAAGAAGCCACCTAAAAATTGTCGAAAGACACGACTAACACAGTGAAACACTTTGGCTAATTGTCATTTCACAAATGCAAAGTAAAGACTTACCTATATATACACATGGAGCAATTTATGTAATTTCGTTGGCACAGGATCTGTCATTTTCAAGGAATTCAAGATAAAACTTGCTGCCAGGAACAGACGGTGTGCCGGGGTTCCCTTACTCCGCCATTGGCACGTCTGAGGGGTCATACACCCAGACTCCTTCCTGCGCAAATGGTACCAATTCTCGGAAGTACGTCTTGGTAGGCCTACCTGTCAAAACACCACACGTGCGCACATGCAGCACGCTCGTCTATGCTGCATAGTCTGTGCAAAGCGTTCATCGTTTGTGGTATGCAATGTTTACATGGTTTGCGAACAGACCTCGGCCGTTTTCCAATACATGTGCTCAACTTCGTTCCGTCTCAGGCGTCGTTCCCCAAACCAATTCCCGATTGTGGGCCTGAAGCGTTCAAATTAAATTGGATTACTGTAATTGTGGGCTTTTTTTTGCATCTTATTTGATGTTCAATGGCACTATGAGACTGATTACTGCGCTTACAGCTTCAAAGTCAGCTATTAAAAAAACAGTTGAAGCCTGAGACGGAGCCGAATTGAGTATTGGAAAACGGCCCTGGTGCAAGATCGGATCTACCACTGGTAATTATTTGCACCGTGACAAGTTAAGAATGTTGGGTAAACCATGGTAAATCAACAGGCATTACATTTACTCGCAAGTATTTAAGGCACGCGTATTTATTCCAAAAACAACAGGTAGTCCTTGCGCAATGTTTTCTTGGTTGTAAACAATGAAACAGGTATCAGTAGATGTGGTGTGCAAAATTAATCATGCATTAGTTTTGTTAAAAGTATTCATATTTTTAATCAGCCGCACATGACTTGTAGATTTATATTTGTATATTTGCATCTTATACCAAAGGTATATTTAAGTTTGAACTCAAATACAAAAAAAGTACTGATTGTCGCATAAATTATTGTTCCTTTGTTTTTCATGGCAGCGTTTATACGAACAGATTTTGGACGTACATACTTAACCGTACGTTTTGTTAGGAATAAATAAGTGAAACTACGATGCAAAAATAAATAGATAAATAAAAGGAAAAAGCAGGCAGAGGAGAATTTTTTTCTCGGCCCATTTTAACGGAATTTTATTTTCAGCTGTTGCATTGAGAAACCTTAATGTTTTACATGAAGTAATTTGTCAAACATCGGTGTTTTTAGTTATGGCATGGCAAGAGCCGTATTCTTTTCTTCGTCTGAGAAAATTTTGAACACACTAGGTTTGTAAACCAGTGCACTGTGAAATGTCTGCATTTTCAACTTTCAACAGTTGCGTATATCTGAACTAGATTACATATACAATGTCAGCACTCTTATCAATGCCAAAGATTTGATACTAACAACGCCCTGAAATGTGGAATTTTATTTTTCTAATGCAACGTCTCTGTAAAAAATTGTTGAAATTAATGTTTTATTCAACGTTTGTTTCCTTTTGGCACGTGCAGTTATTTTGACATGAAAAGTCGTCGCGAGAATTAAAAAAAAATACATGGACTGACATAACTTTTTGTTTTCAAGCTTCATGTAATTTATGTGTAATATTTGAACTGAATTTAAATTTTACAAACTTCCGGTAATTCAACTGTTTCGTGATTGTAATCAGGAATTTTTGGAATGTTTACTATTGTTCGTCTGACCGGGCGGCGATGATCATCGAGCACTTTGATGTGCCCGAGTTGTAACTCCTTCTGTGTCCTTCCTCCATGGTCGGAGCATCTGGACCCCACAACCTGGCTAGAGGTTGTTGTTGAGCATATCTGGCCACTGATAAGACCGCATCGTGTCCGAGTATTTAGCATTGGGCTACACAAGAACGGACCCTCAAAACCTTTGCCTCATCTGTCTCAAAAGGTACAGTGTATTCTGTACTTTCTGATATAAAGCCGTTACACGTGAGGACACATACAAGCCAAAATAAGCACAATCACAACATGTCAGAGCAGATAGTTGAATTTAATAAGAATCAGATGAAAGGGTAGTCTCTGTACTCAAATAAATAAATATGTACAAAATATACTACAGTTGGCGCAGCACTGATGAGTTAAACCATAAATACGTAACTTCATGTCCACGAGCTGAGGTGCTTGTACGGGTTTCGAATGGACACCCATCGTCACTATCTCTTCATTATTTTAGAGATAATCAGTTTGATGTTGAGTCACATGAATGGCAACTTGCATTAACACTGTGCTTTTTAATCAAAAACAAAAAAGACAACAAAAGCATCCAGGATTACACATGAAGTGCAGGAGCAGTCTAGCTGGTCCTAAAACGACTGCTCACACAATACACCCCAATAATGATCATGGATCATCCACGTTAGTACTGAAAAAGTCAGTAAAAGAAACTGCTTTACAACAGTACAAAATAAAACTCATATGAAAGATGTACAAACTATGCCACACAACTGAAACGACTTTGGCATACTTTAAGTATGAGCTCTGAGTTGACGTAAATACTTGAAATCCCCACTACGAGGCAATACTATCTTGAGTATATTTTTATATTTAAACGAAAAAAATTCGAACTTGATCCTTAATTAAGAACTTGTCATATTTCATCATTACGACAGTGCTCTGAGGGCATACAGTTGGCTCAAGTAGTACTTGTGACGGGTTATGTCCCAATAGCGCTAAGCAAAGCGCGGTGCTGGTCCAACGATTTCACAAATGAAGCAAGCCAGAGTTTTTGTCCACACACAAGCAAAGATGTGTGTGGGATGCCAAATCTGAAGAAAAACAGACGTCTGGAAAACAAAGACAAAGCTGATTTCCGAACGTGCCAGGATTTTTTCAAAAATGGCCCGACTTGTCATGACCCTGACAAGCCTGTCGTACTGCCGTAAATCCATCAGGTGAATACCGGTAACAAGAGTGAACTCGGCAACGAGCTCATGACTGATGTTAACGTGGAACATGCCCACGCCAAGTACATTTGTGAGATGCCTTTCTGTTTTTCTGGAGCATCGTACACCAGAGCCCTATTTCACGGAGCCGCTTAACGCAAAAAAATACCGATACTTTCAAAGCGGTACTTCGCGTGGCAGTACTAACAGTTTCGCGCGCATTGAGATTTTCATTGTCACGCTACGTCACTAAGCTGAGCGCATAGAGTACCGACGTGAATACGTCACGCGCACAATTAGTGTGTAAAAGGCATTAGCGCGTGAACCAACAAGAAGTGTGACGTCACTCTAAACCAGAAGTGCAATGCAAACGAATGGAGTACGCGCGCGTGTTGGTTCACGCACACTAATTGTGCGCGTGACGTATTCAATTCGGTACTCTGTTAGGTGTGCATTTTTGCTGTGTTTACTGCTTACGATAAACACGGTGCCTTGCTAGCGTGAAATTGTGCGCTAAGCAGCACCGCTGCCGGACGACATCATTTTCTAGGTCTGTGGTTTGCTTCTGTCGAAATGGATAATGTAGAAATTCTTATGTTGTCACCAACAACCCCCTTTCAACACCGAAGTAATTCTACAAAGTCTTCCTCCTGTTTTGCGGCAGCCGTTCTAAAGGCTATGTCAGATTTGTGAAGTAAATCAGTTCCAAATCACAGCATGTAAAAGACATTTTCCACTCTGCCATCAGGGCACCTGTCAAAAATACTGACCCAGATTCGAACCTCACTACGTTATAAGAGCGTAACCCTGCGCCACAGTTCTGTTTCAGAACACTACTGGCTCAAATGTCAAATATCAAGTTCTTCTCAACAAAGCTTATATTTAGCAACCCCCAAAATTCAAAAATAATCACTGCTGTTGTTAGTAAATACAGAAGCATTTAAAAGTCAAAATGTATCGGAAAGCCTCAATCATAAATTTTTGGAGTAAAATGAGAGAAGTCACTCAATACTACTCTTACACCCATAGCAATACAAATTTTCTCATAAGGGATTAAACGTGACTACTGCAGAACCATTAATATGCTTGAAGTACCTCAAACTTGACTGTGCACAATTTCATAGAGAAAAAAATCTACTTTTTCCAATTGCCATGAATACAGATCAAACAGGAAAAAAACAGTAAAAATATTTGAATATCAAAGACAAGAAGAATTGTGAACGATTGAGCTACTGGTATACAGCTTCCTATGTACACATACTTTTCATTTCTTTTTTCTAAATTAGCATTTGGCAAAAAGATTTGATGGAGAACATCAAAGATTCTCAAGATGATCCTATTGCTTTAGAAGATAACAGGTACTGCATTCCAGTATTTTTTTTAAAAATCACTGCAAGAACTAGTGATTCACGCCCAATGCACACTGATATTCTGATCATGCAGTCCCCTAATTACAGAAAAAACAAGCAAGAACAATAGAAAAAACAGCAAAGTTGTCGAAAGCAGACAAGCTCCATCGTTTTGTGAAGTGTAGCGGTTCATCTACTTTCAACTGTAACGATTTTGACCATCAACCCAGCTCTACGTGTACCTCGTCCAGAAAAACCCCGCACGGGCAACATGTCTACCATTATTAAGGGGGGGAACAATTTGTTCACTCTTGTTTTGTTGAAAGTCATTCCTTTTATGTTGTCTAGAAATCAAAGTAAATCCAAGGTATAGGCTAGTGTTGCAAGGTATAACATTAAAAGGTTAAGGGGGAGTATTAATGCAGATGTATCGATTGAGCGTCATTGCCACACCTCCAGGGAAGTCTCACACCACTGTCAGCTCCATTCAACACCACGAATTCTAGGAATTCCAAAAATCCATTCATTCCCCGTGACAGGCTCTGAATGACTTCTACCGGCACCGATGAAAGGACTTGATTTCACTCAAGACAATTACGCGAATTTTAAATTGCAAATTTTGAACTGCTAACTACTTGTTTCATGGCGTCTATTATTAAAAGAACCTTCCATATTTAAACATCGGTGCTCACATTCGAAATCGGAGGCCTACTTCCCCATGCTACCACACTTCACCCAAAACACCACAGAATAATTTGCTTACTTGCGCCAAGATTATGAGTACAATTCAAGAGATTTTAAAAAGTACTTATGTTCCGCCATGGGGATGAACTACTTCTAAAAAATTAAATCTCAACATTGAATCGCAGAATTGAAAAAGAAAACCTTAGATGCCAGCATAACGTGGGAAATGTGTAGGACGACTGTGACCTCTAAGACACCCCAAACATAGTTTTTTTTTTTAAATTCTGCCTAACAAGAGAAGTTACTCCTTGAATCTACGGATAACCTGCCACGGAGTCTTGAGTTTGAAGCTGGTAAAAATGGTCAATCTGTTCACCTCACAATGTCTCCGTTTGTCACTCATGTTCGAAAGATACACAGAAAAAAAGTACTCATGAGTTTCACACCGAAAAAAAATTACCTTTCTTGGTCGCTATTATCGTTAAGCTCTTCATCTACTTTAGCTGTAACAAACTACAAGTAAGGAACTGTATATTCTACACAAAAATGTCTATGACAAAGAGCTGGAAACAGCACTTTTTGTTGTCGACCAAAGATCACAGAATACATGGTTACTGTGCAGTCCTCTGCGTTCAACAGGTGAAGAATGAGGACTGTCAGGGACAAACATTTCCTTCAAGAGAGACGCAGAATATGCTATACAAGCTACCACGAGAACTGTATTGCCAGGATGCTTACATCGCCAGTCTTATCACTTACGTATGTATTTGTGAAATAAAAAGAGATTCAACCCCGAAAAGGAATATGAAGCTAAAGGTGTCCGGTTCGTATTTTAATGTGACTTCGTCATACACGCGCACGCACCACTGAGTGCAAGCTTCGATTGGATGAGCACTCTATGCATAGTGGGCGTGGTTTGACTAAAGTGAAGTCACAGTTATGACCCGGCTTGCATGCAAGACACAGACGGGGTCTACTCATCAGACCCATTAAGATGTATGAGGTACAAGTATGTCCAAACAAATTGACTTCCAGCGGCTGTAAGCATCCACACGATCAGCAGCAATTTACCCAAACTGACAGCTCCTAAACGTGGAACTATGACCAGTTTCCCAGCTAAAGGGAAGACCATTCACGCCGAACTACTGTGGCCCGAATAATGACGAACGACATCACGTTTGCTTTCCACATGGATAGCAAGCTTAACTGGAACAAAAAAAGGCCTGAAGATTTTGTTTTTCATATCAAAAGAAGTTTGGCTGCAGATGTACACTTTAGCAGCAAACTGATAATGGCGATAAATGCCATTTTCAAATGAACACACTCTCCACCAACTTAATAAAACCTGTCTAGTTAAGTGCATAGTTTGGGTACAATTTGTGAAATTCTCAAACATCAAAACTTAAGTTTATTGCTGAGAGCATTAACAATCGTTATTTATAGATACATGTATGACGTGATTTATCTGACGTAATATGAACACGCTACAATGAGAAATCATCACTTGGTCCCATTTGGGCAACTCTTCCCAAACGGTCACACGGCGAGACTGCCTTCCTTATACACGTCCACGATTTGATACATACATGAATAAAAACGGCTGACTTAACATGGTGCAATTCTCATGCTATTAGTTCTGTATGCTACTTTCCAGTAGTATTTCTTCAAAATGAAGTTACTTTTTTGTTAATTTTCTACTCTTCTAAATTTTTTTTTTTAAATACAATTCAGGGCCACACTGCTGTTGTGGCTTCTCTGTGTGTAAAATATGCTGTCTCTGCAAATATGCAGCGAGCATATTTGCACAGCATGTTTCGAGTTTCCTGACTGTTATTTGACAAAAGCTTGAGAAATTCCTCTAAAAAGGCTGAATAAATCACTAGTTACCAACAACTAAGGTTAACACTAGCATTAAAATGTATTGGTTAATACTCATGAAGTACGCACTCATGTCCAGGTAAACACCAAAAAAAATTCAAGGTTCTATTGATGATCAAATCATCATTTAACTGAGAAAACAAGTTTCTTGATGAACGCAACAAGCTGCCGACAAACAGAAACAGTTGAGTACAGCTGGAGGCCAGAAGCACTCAAACCTCTTCACTTTCAGTTTTGAATCCACAGTCTGTCTTAAATTTCCGCACACATGATGCAACGACCCAAAAATCATGTCTAGAAATGCAGGGTTTTTTCCCCCTTCAAGTAAACTCTCAGACTTGCAAGTCTTACAAGACTTACAAGTCCACAAATTAGGAGATGACGGCACTCACTGTTTGCAACCAAAATGTTCTTGATTGGTCTCGTCCTAAATTTCCTAAGATTGCTACCTGAGTAAACTCTCTTACACACTCCTTTTTCACATTTTCATATTGTTACCTGGGTATTACCAAGGGTTCCAATAGTTCCCACGGTGCCATCTCTTGCTGTTTTGTTGACAGTGTAACAAGGTGTCAAGAGTAACAAATTAAAACAATTGCAAAATTAAAACACTGTAAAGCGGAAAGATTCTTTCTTAGTAGAGTACCAAAACTGGATGCATCACCCACACGCGTAATACTGTATCGTCTCGAGGAAAAACCAGCAAATAAATTTCCTAGCTATCCATTAAGTACCACTTGGGTTACCACAGAGAATTTGAGCTGGTGGAAAATAAAAGGAAATTCTTTCTCAATACGAACAGTGTTTAAGAAAACAAGACAATGATCAAATGAATAAATTTTCCCCAAAACAAACCGGGCAAAGGTATCAAAACAGAAACTGAAAGTTGAAGAAAAAAAACCCCAAATTGTTATAACAAATGTGTATTGCCATTAGGAGGTCAAAGGATCTTCAATTAGAATTCAATAGAGACGAAAAGCAGCAAGGAAATGTAAAGGATTGATATCACTTGGTCAATATCCAAAACTGTGGAAAACGCTGAAAGTAAAATTCCCCGCCGCAGGAATCATAATTCTAAAAATTTATCTTCCCACCACCACGATCCACAAATGGCAGCAGCAAATCTACACCCATCTGTCTTGGTGATTCATTTTGGTGGGTACCGGAAGAGAAATAACTCCCCAATTACAACTTGTACATGTAGTTGAACTGATATGACTTTTGGTAAACTGCCAAGTGCCAATGCCCTTTTTTCATTAATAACTTGTGTCTGTCAGATCTTGTTATGCTTAGCATTGTAATATACATGTACTTTTACTTCCTAGCCTGTAGATTGAATATTATGCCGAGGAAACTGCAGCTAAACACTGGCATGATGGGCCAAATGGGCTTGGAACCAAATCAAGGGGTGCACTGCTCTCCTAACAAAGAATGCATGCTCAGCGGAAAACGCATGCCCCGAGTTTCGCTACACATTCAAGTTTCTATATTATCCTGGATAGCAATAATAAAGTGACAACTGAGATTTGTAATGCAGACGGGCTTCAGGGGGACTGCAGTTTGGCCTGAACGTTTGATGTGGTATTCATGAATGCTGCTGTTGAGCCAACTATAGAGGTTATGCGTTGCTGGCGTCTCCACGGTGTCTTAGATATTGGTTTTGTTATTTTAACTTAGTTACAACGAATGCACGAAAGGTTTACTTGAGCCTACCCAGTGTTATAAAACTCTTGCCCTCTCAGGATTCGTTAATTAATGCATAACCTCTACTCAGTCCATCAAGCAGGTGAAATTGCTTGAACACTTTTGAGGGACATACTGCGACACAGCAGCATTTGAAGCCTACCCCAACTAACAAGTAAATTGTGTGCCAGTTCATATATCGTACCGTAACTAGTTTTGTCCCTAAGTACAAACTTAAACCTACAAGAATAAAAAAAAGTTGACTGTTACTGTGAAGAGGTAAGACAAAATAGAAAGTTTCTATTTATGTTGATTTTTGACAAAGTCAAAATTCTGTTCATTTTTTCTTGACCTTCACCAAACACATATAACTTGAAGTTTGAACGTAGCTTTGATGTGAATGCAGTAAAGCTAGAAAAAAGCAAAAAAAGTGTCCAAAAGGGCAATTCATAATTTCATCTCCATTCATCAATTTTAAATGTCTACCCCCCAAGAATTAATTCCGAGAAGCAAATACGTCCACAGATGATCTGGTCACACCACGAGGACAGAATACTTGTACTGGAGCGAAATGTTACTGTTATGTTGTAGCACACATGCTAAACGGAGCACTATTTACAAATATCTGTACAAATACGTCCAAAGGTGGAGAGTGAGCGAATGGCAGAACGAGCTTGCAAGCAACCCTGAGAGTACGGCCGATTGAACCTCCAAATACTGCAGAAATCAACCAGGTGGGATGGACCAAAACACCCACTCAGCTACCCACATCGCAAAGTTGCACTTTCCCATAAATTAATCATAAAAACTATCCAACCACGTTAAATTATATACATACATCTGACAATAAAATTTACCGCAAATTTTTTTTTTTTTTAGAGTGAAACACGGGAGGGATGAACGGTTTCACAAAGAATACTTTCTGCTACGAGGCAGACCGTCTCAACACCACCAAATGCAGCAATTTGCAATTGTACGTGCCTTTGTATGTTTATCCGGCTTAAAACTTGAAGTTGAACGACACAAGAGCTTCAAATTGACTAAAAAATTCGTAGTACGTCCTCTTCTAAAAGTACTAGGAAAAAAGTTCCTCGGTATACTAAATCTATGCCACTAGAATCTTAAATTGAATAAGTAGAAATCGTTGAAAACAGTGCTGTATTCGAGTCCATTACAAGTGCCTTCAAAAGGCCAGTCAAAAGTAACAGGGTGAACAATGACAAAGGAATGCTTTTGTCACAGGTCATTTGAATGGCTTGCGAATTGGCTGAAGACTGAATGACTTGTGATGGACTTATGAAAGGACTTGTGATGGACTCGAATACAACACTGGTTGAAAAGGACTGACTAAAAGGAGCAACATTATGTGGGTACACAATTGTACGATTCAATCAATCTTTATTGCTTGGCTGGACTGGCGCGGAGGCTGGCAGTGCTTCCGATTCGTCGATGTCCTTCTCGTCGGATGACGCCTTCTCCTTCGTCTCTGTCCCCGGCTGCTTGCAGTCCTCGGCGATCTCCTTCCAGTGGTCGCGGTTCTGTTTGCAGCCGCTGAGCAGCGGAGTACACTTCTCTGAGGTCTTTGCCAGGGCCTGTCGCAATGCGTATGGTAAGAATTGTGGGCATTAAAATATCTCAGCCGGTCCTCGTGCAAGACGCTATTACTTGCAGCTACCCTCGGCAACATTTACAACTCCAGCTTGAATTAACGAATGAATTCCTTTTGTTAGCATTTGAAATCAGCATTTTTCTCAATTGTGGGAGAAATCCTGAAAACCAGAAAAATCCTGATAGAATAAAAAAATCCTGAAATCGCGAAACATCCTGACAAATCTCACCCCTGCTCACTGTGATGAGTACGTACCTCATACACCGGCATGCATATTGAGTCCACAAACCCCACTTGCATCTTTGGTAGCAGGTGAAGCTTCTCTCGATTCATCATGTCCTGCCATTAAACGTTATCACAAACCTGTGAGTTCACTGATCACTCGATCCGTTTACTCCAGTAAGGTCCCGTAACAGGTGGCCAAAAACGAAACACTTTCTTGTCCAGAAGTAATAGGCGACTTAATGAATTACTCTACATGTGTGCGCTCCGTGGGGGCTCTAAACTAACAGAAATGCCATGTGCATTCTTGAGGAGTGTCTCATAATTCTGAATGGTCGGAACATTCCATTCCAAATGACATTTTCATTCATTCCGGAATAGAAGGCCACTCCACTGGGACCACAGCCTTCCCAATTGGTGGACGTAACCTCAGATTCATCAAAATCTAACAGAAAGCTATTAAAGGCTGGGACATAAACATGTTTTGCAAAAAAACCATGACGCTATCTTTCACTTATTCTTAGGAACACGTACCTCTGGTGTTTTGTTGAATTGCTGTCTTTCTAGATCACCTTGCTCAAAGAACTCCCCAAAAATCAGCTGCGCAACCTGGGTGACATGAACAAAAAATGTACCCAACTCATGCAAATCTGTTCAGTGCCACAGACAAGCTGTCTTCCCAATTCACCTAAAAAACAATTTTTCACAACCTTGAAAGTAACCAAAGCAGTGAAGTACAAGTCAATACGAAGTCATATGTGAACTTTAGCAAATGTGTCGTATGATAAATTTTGACTAAAAGGTGACAATCTGACAATCGTGATAGCAGGGTTTCTGACCTCTTTCTGCACTTCCCAGGGCTTTGTGATGGCTGACACATCGGAGGCTGTCATCAGCATTCCACGAAGCAGCTCCTTGTTGTCGTCATCGGTCCAATCTTCGTTGCCCTCCTCCACCAGTCTGAAGAACTCTCCCCGGAACCTACAAGTCCAATAATTGAATTGAGAACATGCATGCCTATACGGCCCTTATATAAAAGGATGTCGTCAATGAAGAAGCTAACCGAGTAATCCAAGATTATGCCACTCAATTTGTCAACCTGGCCAAAATGGGCTTCATATGGGTAAACGATGGTCAGGGTTCCAACTGATTCATGTTTTCCAAGATTTCTTTTAAAACGTCTTTAACTCAACATGGCTCTAGTGACTTGTGACTTATATCCCTATGTCGAGCCTCACATTGCTTCAGACTTGACCACCAGCGTACATGTACTGCATGGTCATTGGATAGGTTCAATGCTTACTTGAAGTACAGTGCCAAGTCGGTGGCCAGAATAGCATGCTCCAAGAGACGCATAGCCTGGCTGTACTCTTCAGCGTTCAAATTCATGAAGATCTCATTACCCTGTTGAGAACAAGCCGAGATAATCATGGGCCATACATGCACATGCCAGTTTGAACCCTCGCTACGTGACCTATTGAGTGCAACAGAACTCAACGCAGCTGAAGTAAGAACCACGCTGAATGCAACAAAATGCAACAAAGGGCAATGATGGATTCTGTGACCCTTTGCAGTGGACTGAATACACACCACCCTGGACACTATCTAGGCATGAAGTGTGCTCTACCACTTACGCTGAATGCTAAATGCAACGATACATATGTACAACAACTTTTGTCCAACATTGAATTCTGTTGCATTTAGCAGGGTTGGGATTAATCACGGCTCCCTGCGACATTTTGCGGAGAAATTCTCCCAATCTTCAAAAACCCTCCCCTGTGCGCAAAATCAATGGGTAAGGTAACAGTGGCTGGGCTCTCCCTCCCTGCAGTTTTCACAATCTTCGCAAACTGCTCCAAAATCGCTCGGTGCAAGTGCAAACTTGAAACGTGGAGTAAAGTGCTTGATGGTGCACCATCTGCTCCTTTTCAGCTAAAAAAAACTGTGCCCTGTTTGTGAGAATGTGGCTTCTGCCTACCACAGAAGAGGTGACAGAGGGCTAAGCAGAGCCCTGACAACACCGATGACCCCGCAGGCAGATAAATAATACAATAAACAGGGACATAACCACCCACCTTGCTACTGAGGATCATGATGCACTGGTCAAAGTGGTGGTGCTCCATGGTCGAGGTAGAGTAGAGCTGGGCGAGTGGTGACTCAGACCTGTCGATGAACACAGGGGAATACTATAACTCCGATGACGTCTTTGAGTCTTTTTATTATTCAAACAAACAGTTCACGCCTTCAAGTCACTCAGGAAACTCTGCACCAGACTATCTTTCGTCTCTTGGGAGTACCCAGGCTACTTTAAAGTCCCTCTGCTCTTCTTGTGGTTCTACTCATATCATCCCTATGCCTCAAAAGAAGGCTGGGGACTGGATTTTTCTTATTGCAAGTGCCCACCTGTGGGACAATCTACCCGATCACATAAAGACCACAGACAGTTGAATCATTGTTCAAAGCTGCTCTCAAGATCCTTGTACAGTGTATCCTCTGCTAATTTGGCACTGTTTAATTTACTGTCATTTAAATACTGAAACCCATTGTGGTATACATGTAATCGGGCCTCTTGGATTGGACAATGTGATGAAGTGCTCTTGATGAATACCGGAAATACAAGTGTTTGGACAAACAATCTGAAAAATGCACAAGTATCAGTACAGGGACTCAAAGTTCGAGTGCTTCCGCATGAACGTGTCTTTCGGGCTGTGCGTTCACTCACTGGGTAAATATGAAACAGGCTCGGACAAAAGTTCAAGTACTTCCTGCACAAACGTCGGTGTTTAAGACGTGGGTTCAAAAGCCCATGTTCCTTCTTGTGAGAAAAAAAACAAAGGGAAAGACCAAGGTCAAGTTCAGCTTTCTTCTTCTTCTGGTTATGTAGTCAAACGCTTTCAGTTTCTAATTCAATGAAACAGCCTTTCTGTTCGGTCTCTAACTCTGCGCAGCCTTGTGTTTCATTATTATTGGTGGACTGGTTTCAAGGCACTGTACAAACAAGCTTTGTTTCACTTTGGAAAGACACATCTCTCAAAAACCATCATTCTGCCAGTTGACGAGGGTAACTCTGCAAAACATATGCTGAGATGTTTTTACGCTGATAATTTTAGGAACGGGAACATAATTGAAATGAAGATATTTGGGGGCTTCTAACACTGATGAACCTGGACATAAACAAGAAGGTACAATCTGTGAAAAGTCTGTGAAATTCAGTGCTGTGGTTGAGTCTGTCATAAGTCCAGTCACAAGTCCTATCACCAGGCCAGTCACAGGTTAACAGCGTGAAAAGTGACTAGAGGATCCTGCAGTCATAGTTCACTTGGATTGCTTGTGACCCGACTGAGACTGGATGACTTGTGAGGGACCAGCAGAGTCTTATGACAAACTTGACTGCCAACAGCAGCAAGATTTGCATTTGTCAACCACTCACATGATTTGGTAGTTGTTGGTGGTGCCTCGATGATCTAGGTCATGTGACAAGCAACCAACCAATAGCGCTAGACACTCCAGATCCGTCAGTACATCTCGCATACCTCCGTTCTGTTCAGACCAGATCAAGAATTTGTGAAATTCTGTACACACCGATACTGGAATTGCTGACACTGAATGGTTGGCAAGGACAAACTTACTTCTCCTTGTCTCTTGATGCTTTAACAGGTATATTTTTCAGCTAATACGGTATTTTAACACATTCTCAAAAACTGATAACCTGAATCTGGCAACTTATTACCCATTTCTCTAGAGCCGGTCACAAAGAAGTTTCAAGTTCCATTGACTAATGAAAAATTACATCAGGGTTGATTGAAAAAAAAGTGGAAAGTGCTCGAGATCTACCGTTAATTCGGAGTGCATCAGCACTGACATGTTACCTTGGAGTCAGTCAATTTGCCAACAGAAAAACACTTCCTGCCAATTTCAAGGTACGTGCAATTCGAGAAGTCTACCGTTTGCTCAGGTGTAACTTCCTTCTCAATAACACACGGACTGATAGCTTTGTTTGTCAACTGGTGGAGACCACTGCATTATCAGACCTGCCAACCTGTCGTACTCCTTCCTGAGGTCAGGCATCACCACATAATAGATTAGAATTTTAAATGAACTGAGGGCTCATTTAAATACCTTTTAGGGTATTGTGTGGTATTGCCTAGCCTCAGGAAGGAATATGACAGGTTGGCAGGTCTGCATTGTGAGTGGACGGATGATGCAGCCAAACATAACTGATGAATTATTCACAGCATAAGGGGCCTAATTTTACCTTCATAATCATTTTTAAGAACAGCCATCAAAAGATATTGGCATGGAAACCGCTTGCTCAAATATTCATGAACTGACAGGCATGTCAAACGTACTCTCAATGATCTGAACAGTTCACAGTTTGAAGTTTTTACGACATGATATTTGCAAGATACTGGAAGCGCATTTTGTCAATACTAAACAAAAAAAACAACTCAGTTGTGGAAAACGACAACCTTTACTTCAATGAAACATCACCATCGCATAGTTGGTCGCAGAGTGGGCAATCTGACAGGATTTTGTGTGATACCCCAACCACACAGTACTAGTGTTTGATTTTTCCAGTAACTTTACTAATACATTCAACGCTTTTTTTGGGGGGGCCGGACTGTGTCTGACCTTGATCAGCGCAAACATGGTTTGCGTTACTGTGAAGGCGTGGCGCCAGTTGTGGTATCTCACGCTGCGATAGTTCTTCCTGACGCTCAGTAGCCATCTACACAGAGTCTGTGAAAAAAATAAAACGCCAACACTATGGATCAGAGGAAAACATCAGACGATTCTGATTGGGAAGGTTACTCGCAGGTTCCAGACAATATTTACTGATCAGGTTTATTTCAATGGTCGAGTACGACCTGTCACGTGTCCCAGAAAGTATGGACTGCCACACCAGCACGAACTGGTCAGGGAACTTTTTTCCAGACTTTTCAGAGACTCGTTTACCTCATAATTGATCCGAAAGCGGTTGACGAGATCCAAATCTAAGAACATCCTGAGTGATGCAGTGAGTGTCTCATCCTCCGTTAGTTTCATGTCGCTGAAGAAGTAGTCGTCAAGCCCAACCTCTCTGATTGTAGGAACAGCCAGTTTCTGCAAAGTGAAAAGAACAGGGTTACATGTATGTGTCCGCAGGTAAGAATGTTCTCCTAACCCTAACCCTGGCTGCCTCAGGCCCCTCAAACTCCAGCGGTAGGTTGTGTGAAGTTTGGGCTGATTCTGTGCCACACATTATAAACTTATTCTACTTTGTTGGATTGATGAACAAAGGCGTAGGGTGATGGTTTTAAACGGAGTATGAACATATACGGGCTGTCCGGTGAAGTGGCTGGCTGGTACAGTGTGCTGGACTTGGCTTGATTTTGTCAGGTTTGGTATCTCTACTCTGCAAATCATCTGCATGCTACAAAGATCAATCCATACCACATGACTCAAACTTCAGTGTGTTGACTTGCTGGAGCTCAACAGGTTCTGCCCAGTCATGTGCCATTAATTACATTGACCTGCTTCAATCTGATGAAATGTTAGATTCAGTAATGTTTCTAGTTCAAAGGCTGGAGGGTAAGGTTAATAGTGTACAACAGTTTATGACCAAATCTCACAGCATGGGTCTTAAAGATTTTTTTACTGATAATTTTGCTTTAATTTCTTTTAATTAGACGAGCAAGCTGATGGTTTTGAAGGAACATTCAGTTTCTAGGCATCCCAATACAAATGGACACAATGTGGGTGAAAAACGGTTTATGGTTCTCTATTTATTCACACTGCAAGATTCTTTCAAAGATCAAAACTGGCTCTAGCAACGTGTGACTCATTTTGTGAGCCTGGGTCATAGATTTGTTTCAGCCACATAAGTATTTTACGAATAATGCATTTGTATTCTGACATCCCTCATTGAATCTAACTGTTCTGGAATTTACTCTAGCACTGCAGTAAATTGACCACTTCTGACATTTGAATGAGTAAGACAGCCCTTTCCAAAAACTTAACACTTTTCCTGACAATCAATCCGCTTGAATTCTCGTTAATCACTGTCATGAAAGCCATCCATTCCAAATAAGTGTATGAGTAACATGGTGTGGTTTATGCATGGGATATGTATACATGGACACGTATGCGTACCAACAAAAAACATTCACAGGAAGTTTTAAGAAACATGAACCCTTATGATTTTGGAGGCTGAAAGTGGCAAGTTAGCTTGACTTCCTCTTGTAAACCATCAAATCACACATGCATGTAGCTTTTCTTGGAACCCTGCGCCTCAAATGAGACAGTTGTCTGGTGCAGCCGCAGACGTCCGGTGGGTGTGTGATGACCATTCCACTGGGTACATGTTGCAATCTCATCCCAGTGCTAAATTAAAGGTCATTATGCGGATGGCAGCTCTATTTTTGTATATTACGTGTATACTGTTTCAATAATATACAAAACTGTAGAAAAAAAACCCAGGTTTTTGAGAATGCCACTTGCAAAGGTGCTCCAAAATGGTTTGATCTGAAGTTTTCAGGTTTCTGATCAACTAGTTCAATTTCACCGGGAGTTCTGAAAATTTTTAGGCTACTTGGTCGCTTCATGAAAAGAACCGCTCACGAGACATACTGATACATATTACTCCTGGTCACAAACAAATCATAAAATCATTTGGGGTTTGGAGACAGATATGGAAATTTTCGCTACATGTTTGGCTGAACGGAACAAGAATGTGTAACACAGCATTGAGAAGTTAACACACTTTTAATTCCAGGGTAAAACCTTGCCTTTCGAAACTACAATCATGAAACCTTTGTTACAACAGGGATACTTGTAGAACAAGAAGACAGATTTGATTGAACAACCTTGCCCTTGTGTTTGACTGTTACATCACCCATGCATCACCGATATAGGGGTGAGATTTGGCGGAGAAGAGAAATCCACGAAACCCTCAGCAAAAGCTTTTTATTTTTTAAAAAATGACAACAAAATGACTAAAAATATTCGAGTATTCCCACACATGGCTACACTTACATGTGTGTGCATTGTGCACATTCTGAACAATGTTATCAAAACCTGAAGAATAAACCTCTCAAACATCCGACACTTCTGAAATATTCTGGAAATTTCCAGAGGAATCGCATCTCCTGCCCAAAATCTTAAAGGTTGGAATGGTGCATACTGTAACTTGGCCCAAAGAAATCCTTCATGTCTGAATTTTTTTTTATACCCACAGACTCAAGTTAATGGGGTAAACTTGACCTACGAAGCAAGGCAAGATTCTACCTTTAATCTGATGGCCTCTTCACGCGGAGCTGTTGCATGATATGACAGCGTCTGCAATCAAAGACGAAGAATACACGATATATTGCGGGAAAACGTGGGCAGTGTTTATACGATGAGGCGAGGCAAAGCCGTAAACTGATTAGGGAACCCTATCATGCATATCAAAACACGCCATCCATCCAAGACAGAGGGACAGAAGGGTGTCTTGGGTAGCATGATTCTTGAACCTTACTTACAGGAGGCAGTGGACTATAAAGTGATGACTTGATGACTTTCAACCTCGCTGCCAACCAAGGTTTCAGAATTCCGATCAATCCAATTTTGTCTGCTCAGCCTCAAATTTGGGAAAAACCTGAGGCAATCGTAACGGGACATTTTAAAATCACTTTACACGTCGCTCTGTGGCACGATCCACATTAATCTAAAAGGCATTTTTTTCCCCTCCTGATTGACTCAGCCTTCTCAATTTTTCATGATGTGGAGACAGTGATTATTAATTTGTGATATAGGGGGGTTGAAAATTCCACCTCAAGGTCTCCGATCTGGACTGCATTCATAAACATGGCACTACCGCTCTCAAGTGAGCAGGTATACATTGTTTTAGCTTAACTACATGTACCAAGCAAGATCCCTGTGCCACTGACGATGGGTGACTGGAGGTCAAAGGCACTGAACCGTGGGAAATTTTATCATGCCTGAATGAAGCTCCTCTGGAAGGCAAATTCTAGAGTTAGCGTGTGCTGCAATCAATTTTTCATCGACCTCATCAAACTGTCAATTAGAGGAAGCTATTTTCTTCATTGTTTGTCTTTTAATCCAATTTTGTTTGGGTGGTGGATCTGTGATGTGCATTAAAAAAGAGACCGGATGCACATCAAATACATCCTTATTTAGGAGGCTGCTGTGAGAAGAACCAGGAGTTTGCGATATGCATGCAGGCCAACATGGGAATTCTGTGTGGCATTAACGCATGTATTAATCATTTACCGCCACTTGCTTCTCCACCTGCGTTATACATGCAATTCATTCCAATGGAAACACCATGATTTACGTGATGTTATAGCTACGTGCACATCACCAGCACCATAGTGTATACCATGTTCACCCTTCACACACATGAAAAAGGAAACCTTTCTATGTAATTTTTGCACGTGATTTGGGGGAAAAAGTGTAAACATACGAGAGTAAATGTGGGTAAATCTTGGCCTCCACAGATTATGCAGTGAAACTGTTACTGATGATAGCAATGACTGTGGTCATAAATAAAATTTTTTGGAATGCACACAGAAGGGGAGGAGAAAATACAGTATTACTATCGAGCCTCATCTCTTCATGGACAAAGCAAGCCTTTTCTGTTCACTGATGCGGAAAATTAATGAAACGGAGACCTGTAAAGGATAGTTTACACCCAAGATTTCATCATCATCATCATCATCACGTCACTTTATATTTGACATTTAAGGCATGCATTTTACACTACGCCATTACCTGCGGCTTTATTGCGATTCAAGTAAAGACCCCATTAAAGACAGATGTGTTCGTTAAACAGCACAGACAGTGGTGACTGCCTTACCTCTAAGGCTACCCGTTGCTTAGCAACAGCTCGGCACACATTCTCGTACATGTGGGTGTTGTTGATACCCATTCCGCAGAAGATGGAGAAAGCCTGTTCGTGTTTGACAGAGCGGAGGATAAAAAGAAAAAAAAAAAGCAATCATCAAATTGGTGCCTTCTACAAAACTCTCCCATGTCTGATTGCTCAAGAATATTTTGTGGTACCGCGCAGCACTGAAAGGTTGCTATCAAATGAAGCGGAAAAAAAGAAAGAAAAGAGAATCCTCTTCAGTTCTGCTCATAATGCATTTGCTTTGACCTTTGAGTGAGACCGATTTTCTAGGGCAGAAACAGCTGCAAGGCAGAGCATGGGACAGCAGCCAAGTGTACTTGTAGACTTATGATTAATTCTCACATATTTTATCTTGCCTTTTAGAGTAAGTCGGCAAGACAGCAAGTGCATGTAGACATGGTAAAATCTACTCACACAAACCACTTGCTGATTTCCAGATCATTTCAATGTCCACTTTATTTCTGCTTCAAAGCAGATGGCAAACGTCACCTTAAGACACAAATCCACTGAAGTGAAGATGACACATTTATGAAATGAAACGCATCGGGTTCTTGAACAAGATATTATTTGGATTCGACTTCTAGGTTGTACGAATACGATACTTGGAAATGGTCTATTCTATGCAGTTGGTAGGACAGACCCAATCAATACACGGAACATGTGAACTTAACCAACATCTCTCACGACCGAAATAGGATAACCCCAGACTAATTCTGCATACCTCGAACATGTCCTCATCATTCCTATTGAACGGCGTCCCGTCCTGTTTATTGACCAATAGGATGACACCTAGGATGGACCCGTAGGCATTCTTGATGGGCATGCACAGCATCTGCCGCGTCTTATACCCTGTTTCTTCATCAACCTGTCGACGGCAATCAGGATATTTGAGCGGTACAATACGCACGTGTATTTCACACCATACAGGCGCTGTGACTGGAACAGTCATGCAAGCGGTTATCTATGCACCTCTGACTTGATTCCGTGATGTTACTACTTGGACATATAACTGCAAAATCGGGCTAAAGACACAATCTGCTCAGCAAAAGCAGGTTACTAGCCACAATGGCAAGCATTCTTTTCACCGGTCCCCTGCTGATTTTCATATAGCGCATAAATCTAATCTTAGTTTTTCCAACTGGGTCATTCCATGAGGATGGGGCACAATTTGTGATGGTGTCAATTGTTACACAGGTTCCATAAAAATGGACAGCTATTTCCCTGCATCTGGATTCTAAATTGACATTGTTATACATCTTGCAAGGCTGAATACAGAGGGTGTTATTTTTAGAGTACATGTAAATGACCTACTCTACAGGTGGTAAAAGTTACCAATGTAAACAAGGACACCATCACAAGTTGTGCCCCAACCTCATGGAATGACCCAACTAGCCAGCTTCATTACAATGGGACTAGGAATTCCCTAACCACAAGATATATTATTTTGCTTTGTAAATTCAAGTTACTGATCAATACTTCATGCCATCTACATTATGCCTGAGCGGTAACTGGGCTGATTTTGGCTTAGTATGGAAACTTATAGTGAGCTATTTTTCTTTCTGCATGTACGTGTACATAGGATAGCTCAATAACAAAATTTGGCCCAGGCTGGAAAGCTGTAACAACATGATTATGCTCCGTCAATCCTGAATTAATAGGGAAGGGTGTGATACGACCCAGGAGAAAGATCCCCTGAGCCAGTGTCATACTACAGTGACTCTTTCATAGGATTCAATGCTCCGGGGGGGGGGGGACTTCTGATGGGCATCAAATGCAGGATCACTGGAGATGATTACCCAAGACACAGCCTGTGGGTCTGCCAGACACAAACGCATACACTGCACATGTAATAATGTTGAGGTTTAGTCTTCATTCAAGGCACCGCTGTATTGATAAACAAAACAATGCCACGGGGGAAGAGCTCTCCTATGCAAACCGGCCAGGCATGGCCTTTCCGACGCTCAGTAAGATGATGCAGATCACCTGAGGTGTGAGTACATGTACCTAGTGCATCAAAATACTGTACTTGGTACTACGTACTAGTACTTGGGAACAATCTTGCCAAATACCGTATTAAATGTACATGTGTAAGAACGACATGTTCCTTTGTCTTCACAAACGCAAGCCTGCACTTAATTCATGGCCTAATGAATACGTGCAACATATTACATGTATGAACAATACCGGTAGATAAGACTTAAAGCTTTGCATGGTGGAGATACCGTAGATTAAAGAGAGGGCTTGCAGTGCAGTAACACTATGTGGATAGATCTCTTTTGGGAGAGGTACATGTATGTATGGTTCAGATAAGAACTGTTGAGTGTGAAATCGACATTTCCACCAGTGTGCTCTGGTCGTCTTCAGGTGTGGATATTGCGATCAAGTAACTGCATTACTGTTTAAGGTCAGAGTGGGAGGTCAGTCCAACCAAGCTATGAGACAAATACATGTAGCTTGGCGTGTACATCCATGTAAGAGACAGCTCATTTTGACATGCTGAAATATTAGGAAGTTCCGTCAATAGGCAACGGCAGCGTCTTGAACTGTGACTAAAATTCTACAGCACTTGTCTACAATCAAAACTTGATTGACCAATCAAAAATCATGTCGCACATCCAGACAATCTGGAATCATTTTTCAACTGAAAATCTGCTTGTGTGCTCCAACTTCACAATGCTGTGCGTGGTTTCTGTCTGCACAGTGAAGTTCTGTGTAAAGTACATTACCAACACCCAAGATTTACACAACGCAAGATTTACAGAGCACATATTCATTGTTGTCCAACATAACCATGAGCCCATAATTGACTGTTCAAGCCAATCAGCACTACACAAATTCACCACCCATCCCCGAGTTCAATGAACAAGAACCCACCTTTGGATCAAACTTAGAATCCTTGTACACATCGGCGATGTTCAAAGTCTGTGTAAAAAAGCAGAAAAAAGTAAACAGTGCGGCAGTAGACCAATAACAAGGTTGGGTCGACGGAAATGAGGCAAGCAGCAGAAAGCAGTCCCATAACAAATACAGCTGCATACAAGCCACGAAGGAAAATATTTGGGTTGGCCTAGGGCAATTTGAGTTCGCTAATAATGTTCCAGGCTTAAAGGTTGTAATCTATCTCCGACGCCAGCCCTAACTACTTGTATTCTGCATGGGTGCTTTTGCATGTACATGTGTTTACTCCAGGATGATGATCAGAATATCCCATTTTGGACGGTGACCAAGGTCAAGTTTTCCCCCCCCCCTTTTAATCCGGGCTGGTGAAAACAGTCATGCATGTTACACTTTGTAAAAGTACAGTTACTGCTTGTTTGCAAGGCCACTCTGACTATGGGAAACTATGTACCATACTGTGTATGCACAATCAGCGCTCGGCAATGTACATAGCAACCAATGACATTTCAGTTTCTTAGACGGTGTAAGCTGTCCTTTTACTGTACATGTACACGTATATGACATGTGTATGTGGTCAGCACTGTGGACTGTACTTACAGGCCAACGAGACCTGAACTTACGGGTGTATGGCACATGTATGCATTCAAATGCTTTGCAATTAAAATCTGTTTTATAAATGTCTTGACTAGCGTGTTCACAGCACTTCACAGAGCTTGCAACCATGTTGTCTTTTGAATCCGCCCCGAGCTGAAGTGCGCCCCCAATCAGCGTAAGAAAGACAGGTGTCTACAAGCGGGTTCTTTTAGGCGTTCTGCGTTTACGCAACGACCATACAAGCCGGACTAAATTAGTTACGCGAACTCAGCGTGCTCCGCGTCAAATGTGCACACACTTGCGGGCCTCATGGTGCGCCTATGCGGTGAGTACCCAAAAAACGCCCTCTTTTGTTCCGCTCGGAGCGGATAACCCGGAGGTTTCTATCCCCATGGTAACACCGTACATATGCATGGGGTGGAACATTACACACGTACATGTATTCATGGACATACTTTGGGTTCCCATTATGCAGACAGCTTCCTCAAATGCACACACATGCATCCTTGCTACGCTCGTCGTGTTAAAATAGAAGAGGAGGGCATTCCTGACATTGCTAGTCTTACCTCACCAGTAGTTGCTGTATACCCTGTGATTCCAATGTGGATTGGAAAACGACACTCGGTGCTGGAAAGTAAGAATGATGAGTCATTCAAAAAAATCTTTCTGTCTTCATTACACATGCACAAAACTCCCTGTGGTATATAAACGTACATGTACAGTACCAACAGATACCAACAGTTTCTACCATTGTTACATTTTGTCCGGACTTTATCCTGTCATTAAAACAAAGTCATATTTTGTGAACTGTTATTTTCACCTACATGCACATGTATATATTGTCTACATGTTTGTGGGCATGTCGTTTGGCTTCTTAGTCGAGTTAGAGGGAAAGTATGCCGAGGGTTACAATTATTAATTCCGAACTTTAAAGATGAAGTTCAACAATGGAGGACATTTTCTGCAGTGTGTCTTACAATGTAGAGTGTATCCATTGTATCCATATAAGGGTAATTCCAGAAATTAGGGGTCCCTTTTTTTCGTGTGCCCGTCACATCTGACATATGATAAGTTCAGTTCAGAACACATTTTCCAATTTCCAAGAGTGATGAATTAATGCAAATTACCTGCCAAACAAATAGTAGTAGTTTGAAATCACTTCCAGTGATATTTCCAGTCAAATAAGAAAGGTCAGATGTAACAGGTCAGGTGTCCCACTTTTGGACCCCTTATTTCTGGAATTACCGGTACGTATATGTACATGTATCACAGAGACAAGGTCTCAATTTTTTAAACTGTGTATTTCAAACTCAATATGAGAAACAAGTTTGCAGTTTGGAGGTCCAGTGGACTTGAAAAGAGAAACAACAGTCCTCGGTTTCATTTTGCAATGGGAGTCGGAATACCTACATGTACATTTACATGTACGACTTCTTTGCTCCTAAACATGCATAGTCTGTACACAATGAAGGGCTCCGAGCCTACCTGTCTCAGCGCCCGTGTGTTTTTGACAGGGATATGGATGAAAAGTCAATTTTTTTTATCACTTGTATGATGAGAATAATCTTGTCAACCACATCGGCAGCACCGAGGCGGTTTTGCCAAACCAAAAACTTGGCAAGCAGATGCCATTAACTACAAGCATGCAGTTTCAAGCACTGCTGGCATCGACCGGGAAGGACATGACAAGGCGGCAGAATACCGACAGTGTGTTTTATCGTGTGACAGATGCCTTCATATTGTGCATGGTTACTGCATAGACCGCGCTGCATGGAGTGATTTAAAATACCTCACCGGAACTACTCACACGTATCATGTCATAATTTTGGCTGATCACATGCTGCCGTCAACAACTATTTCTAGACAGATAATGACTTTTTTAATAATTCAGTTCAGGAAATAAACTAAGGTTCTAAAAGGCATTTTTAACATTGGTCGGACGGCAAGAATCATGTTTCTTGCGGTTTAGTATGTTTTCAGTTACACATGAGCCAAATTTGACACAATTGCCCTCCATCGTTGAACATCTTCGAAAGGTCAAAAATATCGTACATGCATACTGCAAAGGAATGTAATGCATTCTAGCCAAAGGGGAGCATCTTTTTATTGGTGAAAAATTCTAAAATTTCTAAATGCCACGAGAGCACCTTGAATAAGAAGAATCTATCATAGTTTAATGAAATCAATTTCAAACACGGAAAATACAACACTTCTCCCAATGAACCTGACACCAACCTGGCAAAAGTGACACTGATTTATCGAGTGGCACGGTCTCAACATCTCAAGAAAAACTTTTTCATGCTATCAGTTTACAGTCTGCTGTAAACTGCTCTTTGACCAACCTTCCTCCGTTGTTGGGGCCCTTGTTCTCCAGATCATCCACGCCCATCTCAAACACTTGCGAAAAGATGCTCTGTACATTGCATGAAATAAACATTGCTAATTTAACAACGGGTATGCAGCAACGGCTGGCATCATCTGTTGAACAAGTCTCGCACTTGTGTTGAATATTCACTCCATGTACTATACCTATAATGTTTACAGGCCAATCGTGATTGTTTGAATTGTTTTTTAATAAAAATAAAAATCAGCCATGATGTATTAATAATAAAAACAACAATCACAATATTTTTGCTCATGCACACTACAAATGAAACACATTTATAAACTAAACTGCCACACACAAACTAAACCTAAACTTTAAAGAAGATTCATCACAGGGTGTACCTGTATGTACATGTAATCAGTCACTCTTATGTACATGTACATTATTATCACACACTGCATTACATGTTTACTGTATGTACATGTACATGTGGCAGATAAAAATTAACCCACAAATCGATGGATTCTAGAACATATTGTCTAAAACAATTGGCACACTTGCACGTATTCTGAAATATGAAAAAGCCGACACTGCACAAATAATGTATCGGCTACAAACGGCTGATTCAAAAAAAAAGGAACAAAACAGGTACCGGTGAAAGCATGATGAACTGGCCTTCAACCAAGGTAACCAACGAGAAAGGGAACAACTATGATGCATAATACATCTGTCAAAAGCAGGAATATGGCATGGACTGTGTACCGTGCGGATACAGGAAAGTGTGAAAGATGTGCTGATAATGAATGGAAAACTGATAATGACAAAAAATATGAAAAATCACATGCACGCTGATAAATGTCTTGTACAGTATTCCCATACATACCGGTACACCCCAGACCACGGCTGGCACATTTCAAAAGGGACAATGTGGCTATTCCACTTGTAAAATAAAATACACACTTTGTAGAAACTGTAAACACCAATTCTGTGGACACACTTGTGTCAAAAAAAAGAAAACCACCAAAAACACCCCCCCCAAAATTTCTTAAGTTTTCTTCTATTGTGAGCAAGACAATCTTATCTCCTGTTGAAGAATGTTGGCAAAAGTACAACTTCCAAGGCTTGTGAGGAAAGCTCTTAAAGAAACAGAAAGAAGTAACATCATAGACACAATGACAGATACATGTACACGTGCACATAAATTCCCAGATTTCAATGTCACCACTTCTCATTTTCACTATCGATAGAGCATTACCAATGACAATCATCATTTGAAATTGAAACTGGAGGGCTACACATGAGTACATACATGTACATGTATGCCTCATGGTTTTCAAAGCAAACGCACACGTACAGTACATGTACATTGAACATCACATGCATACTGTGCTACGTACATGTACATGTGCGTGACATGCACTCCTACTCAGAAAAGGGTAATTTATTCAGCACAAGGAGTCACTTGCACATACGAGAGAAAAAAAAAGCAAAGTTAATGATCTGCCCCTTAATTTTCCCACACGGTTTGATTGCTCAATGGTTTAAACGAGTGAGATTTTTGAGTGGTTTACATGTGTGATGAGTGCACGGCACATGGCCCGAGGGAAAATACGTGAAGGGCCACTGCATTGCACCACAGCAGTCGTAATTTTGTCCCAACGTTTCCATATCGACTTCTACTAAACCCCTTTTGGTGTTTTGCCTGACATGCGATGCGACCTACATCTACATGTACCGGTACAGGCAGATAACAAATATTGCTGCATCAAAATTTATCAAACTGTCGTGAGGAGAGCATGCCTAAGCTGGACATCCACTGACCTGATGACCTGGAGAGATGGAAACAGGTCATTTGTGCTTTTTCTAACACAATGTACATGTACAGGTGCATTATACATGTACACGTACCATGCATAATATACATACAATGTATGTATAGGGGCATGTACATGTGTGTAAATAATGGCACCTAGCAATGCCAATGCTTGCATCTGAAAAATTTTCTTATCAAATTAGATGGACCAAAGAAATGAAATGCAGAACCAGAGTGAAAAGTGAAATCACAAAGGGGACAGATCTGCTACCGCTGAGTGGTTAGGTTACCCGGGCACACAGTAAATGTGAACGCTAATGTAATATTAGGGTCCATGGGTAACATGTACCAGTACACTGACAAGCTGTAACGGAAGTACATGTACACACATTAAAAATATCGCACAATATGGCTACCGGTACCTGCTGTTTTCACCCGACAGTGGGGTGGAAAAAAAAATGCATAGTAGGGCGGTGAACTGCTGCATAAAACATGGGCAATTTGTTTTTTTTTCTTCAAGAAACAGCTCGGGGACAGAGTGCTCTGGCCAATCGGCAGTCTTGTTAGGTATGACATAATGGACTTTCGATTATTCCAGCAAGGCAGTATTGCTGTGAGTCTGTAATTGCCATTCGGTCTTGTGCATCAAATGTAAAATACTGCACAGCACATGTACCGGTATTGCCTTCGGTAAACACTTTCCGTTACCATTTGCCCGTGTATTTTTCCAAAGGCTCTTGCTGAACTGATTCCAGACCAAACAAAACATCCTGCAGTGTACGGTGATGCATTTGGAGTTTCTCTATATTTGGAGATCCCCCCCCAGCCATCAAGTAAACATGGTGCAATTAAACACCCCAAAACCTGGCAGTGAAAGAGGAGGAACCAAGACGACAAAACAGCATGTAGCATGACTACAGGGGAACTGGTGAATGTGAGTTGAAACATGCAGGCATTTAGCATGACCACAGGAGAACCGGTGAGAGTCAAAACATGCAGGCAAGACAAGGCTGGGGGCGATGGTAGGGAGGGGGGGAGGGGCATGAAAAGACAAGTTAGCGTATGTACCGTTTCTTTGCTTGGCTGACGCTTATTTTTTCTTCTCTGCAAATATGAGCAAACAGATCCCGTGAGTTTATGAGAGACAACATTACAGTCACACGTACAGTGAAGGCAAAAAAGATTAAGCTACATGTATCCTTTGGAGTCTCAACTGCCAAAAAACACGTACCAAACATTTCAAATGCACCTTCCAGAGTTATGATCACACAATAGCATGTGCATGTCCATACATGCATGGCAGCGTCTTCAAGAAAGTGTTCTAGTCAGTCCATACGACATGCTATTATTGAACAATAACTGTAAGAAGATCCATGAAATCTGAGCGCCATATCTGATTGAAGTTAAAGCAAGTTACACGTACTTGTATACACTGGCACATTAATATGGATATATTGAGTTATGTCTTCTTTTTAATATTCAATCTCAATATACATGTAGCATATATGTGATTACTTAAGGAGTTAAACCTTGCTACAAGTAGAACGGGTAGGTACATGTACGTGCATATGACACAAGTTTCCAGAGGAAAAGACAAAAACATCTGGTATCAATGTAGAGTAATTTTTTGGGTTGGTGCATGAAAGCACTCTAATGCATTTGTACAGTCTACATGTACATTAAATTTTATCTGGCAAGGCACAAGAGCGTTCCTACTGGTCCTTGGCATTCACGTGCACCAGTTTGTAAGCTGCCCAAATTACTGGTATAATTGAGATTCAAACGTTGCGCATGTACAGCATTTTGGAGGCAAAGAATGACGATCCTGCAGTCTGAGCGCAATCAATCTACAAATGACTATCCTCCTTGGACTTTCATCCTGCATCGCTGCGTCTCCTCCTGCTTTCCTTCCCCAGCATTTTCCTGGCCCGTAGCCATGGCAACACCTCAACCCATTGGAGAGTTGAGAGTACAATGGCATCCTCGCCGAGTACGTTTTGGGCAATCTGCAGGAGGCCCGTTCAGAAACTGTCTTCTTCCAAAAATGAACGGGGACAGAACGCAATGGAAAACAAACAAAATGCAACAAATACTGCACAGACGGTTAAGCAAAAAAAAAAAAAAATGTGACCAGCGACGGAAAAAATTACACAGAAAAAAAAGAGAGCATGTTGAATGAAGAGAAACAAATAAAGAGCAGTGTGTGCAATGATCAATCTGTCCTGCAGATTCTGTGCATTCTGTACTGACCTGCTTGAAGTTAATACCGTGTATTTATAATACCCTCCACGTATAGAGGTGATCTTATACAGGCATGCAGCTCTACATGTATGCGCTGTCCCTGGCCGCTTCATTATGCACATGGAGATGGCTTTGCCGTCTCCCCGATGCATGCACTGTCACGCACAGCATGGGTCCGTTTCTCCGACGCATTACTAAGACAGCGCTACGCCAACATCGGGCGTTTGTATATGAGTGCAACAGTCTGAAGTATTTGTCCGCATTGCTCCACTGCATAAAAACTGTTCACACAACGGCGCGCGGGCATCGGTTGTTATCAGACAAATGAAGTAAATGTTTATTTTATGTGGGTAGGCATTACAGTTAGTGTCGCCGATATGGGAAGATTTACCGCTGTAATACCTCGGGGCACTGAAATCACTTACATGTACACACATTTACTTTTTTAATACCCATATAATATTAACTGACCTTAGATGTCTCGTCCACTAATAGGATTGAGCACCGTTCACAGCGCAAGAGGGATATGGTCAGTTCCATAATCCGTCGCACTATGTTGGACAGTGTGCTTTGTTCCTCAAACAAAACCTTGGCCAGTTCCAACAACACCTTGGATGAAAGACAGAAACACCAATTCATGTTAGTGCTGAGTGGAAACATTTCAAGAATCCTTGTCTCTTGTTTCGTGCGTAAATCAAGACAGACGTAAACGCTTCATCACTGCAAATGAGTGGAAGTTGAGATTGATGGCTATTGATTGATGGGTGATCACCTCCACAAAACACAATTTGAGAAGGGAACAGTGCATCAATTGGATGTCTCCATTTTGTGTTTGATCATGACTGTTCTAAACTGTGACACTGACATACATGTATGACGTAAATACATACACAGACATCATCTCCAAGTTCATCACGAACAGCATGTGCAGGCCACTCATACTGTTTCATGAAATGGATTCGGAAAGGTTTGAAATGTGTGACTTTTATGCAATCTGTACTGCACCGAGACACATTACAATGTTTAGTAGTTACCTCTGCAGGTACCGGTGTGCATATTAAAAGGGAGATTTGTCTGACTTTCTTTGATTACATACATGTACATGTATGAACTCTGTAACAAGTCTACTTTCAGCTTGATCTTTGTATGTACATGTACATGTAAAAATGGCACTTTCTCCAGAATAACTCACCTGGTTTCGTCTTATTTCCATGGTGGCCCGTTCATAGATCCTTGCATTATTGATGCCGATGCCACAAAATTGGAGATATTGAGCAAATACCTATACATATTCAGAGAATAAAATATGAGGCAAAAGAAGCATAAACCATACATGTACGTGTACCATCCTGTAATAGAATGGGCAATGAAAGTACATGTATCTGTGACAGGGAAGCAATAAACCACTTTACCGGTAAGTTGCGTATATGGCTCATACATCGTAGTTGTGTTGGATACACTTTTAGAGGGTAATTTGTCCTGACTTCTACAAACATTTCAAGCTCGTTTTAAAACAGAGCAGAAAAATAGCTACCATCCATGACACGCTACACCTGTACAACGGGTTTAGATCAGGGGTGGGGGTGGGATACATGTATGTCCCCCTTCCCTGTCTGCTGCCCTTGTGACTAGGAAAGGAAGGGTTGCGATGAAAGGATGAAGAAAAATCTAGAAACATCCAGCAGAGGTGCCGTTGCCATGACAACAATAAAATATGGTGACATTCCCAGCTTTTCAACAGCTAAAAACGGCGTGAACTCACTCACAAATGGCTACGATTACCCTGTATTGATTCCCAAATGCATGAGTTTTTCCAAGATGCTAAAATGTACTCGAAGCACAAGCCTGAGAAATATCCAATTTGGGTCAAAACTTTTTGCAATCCCGTAAAAAAGAACGAGAAATCACACCCCTGCCATGCTGGCCATAGCATGTATGGTAGGATCATATCCAAGTTTGTTGGCACCATTCCCAAACAAATTGCACAATCCCTTGATCAATATTGCTTGGGATATGTATTTTGTCTCTGTTTGGTTGTCTCTTTATTCCCGTAAATCTCGAAAATCACAGGTCCCTAATTTCATCCTCGTCATCCTTCCACTTGAACCTATTCTCTTGTTTGTTAATATTCAACAGTTTACATTACAAGTCTGCAACATTCTGTCGTGAGAATTTGCTGTTTCTAAAGCATAAACTGCACGGTAACCAAGAACTTTACTGGTACAATGTAACCAAGAGCTTAACTTCAGAAAACCACAGTCTGTGACTGGAGAGGTGACGCAGGTGAACCAGTAAATACAATGCCTAATTCACATGGTTGCAGGTGAACCAGTAAATACAATGCCTAGTTCACATGGTTGCAGGTGAACCAGTAAATACAATGCCTAGTTCACATGGTTGACTGCAAGCAAGAGTGGATTTTTTCTATGGGCTTATTTCTGGTGGCAGGCCATGTTCATGATCCGTGTTAGGGGGGGAGGGAGGTAGTAGGCTTGCACTTTCCGCAAGCTCAGCTGTGAGGTGAATACAGCATCACATCACAAAACATCACACGATGCTTTGATAATGGGGCAGCCCTGGGAGGGAACTGGAAATCACATGACTCAACAGTAGCACTGTGCTTAATCCAGATGCTCCTTGTTTCGTATATGTACATGTATGTGCAAGCTTACACGCCATATCAAAATGGTACTTTTTGTATTGTTGGCTCACCATTTTGGCAGTTGGAAAGTTCAATTTCACATATAGAACAGTGTCTATATGTACGTGTACATTTAGCCTCAAAATACACTTTTTGTCCCCCACCTCCAAAAAAAAAAGTGAGAGGGGAAGGGATACATAGCCCCATCCTCCCAGTGTTTGCGCCCACTCATTTGTTTCTTGATAACATTTTTAGGAAGCTGCACAGGTGCATGTCGGCAAAGCGCCTTACCTTTTCGTCGCCATCAGTGAAGGCTTCAAGCCTGTCCTTACTGCCAATCTTGTTGATGACCTGCGCCACACCTATCACTTCCCCAGAGGGGGCTTTGATGGGCATAGACAGCATACTTCTGGTTTTGTACCCTGTTTGCAGGTCGATTTCACAATTGAATCGAGGATCCTGCAGTCAACACCACAGAAAAGACAAACAAAAAAATTGTCAGCAGCAGATCATAAAATTTACAGCTGAGTTTGAGGAAACAGTAGCTGAAGCAATGTGACAGAAATACATGTTCACTGTCCGCGTACCATACCAGTACATGTAGGTGTATGTAACTAAAGTACAGTCAACATGTACGATCGATTTCTTGAAAAATGTACATGTGTGGAACAGCTGTGCAATGGCTTTCATATTAAACAGTATTTTCGACATGTGGCCCGACGAAAATAGCATAAACACTTGGTTATGCAAACACGTACATGTGTATGCCTGCAGCTGTTTACTAAGACTCCATAACTGCCCCCAAATAGTCCTTGAATTACACTGTACATGAAGCTCCGGGCATTTATGAGAGAAGTACACAACTGTACTAAGTACATGTACATGTACAACAGTATTCACAATTCATTCAGTCTGCCCGACAGTACAGTCGAACCTCATTAATTTACGGCAATTAATAAGAGCACAGTTAACACGGCATTCTTTTTATAACAAGGACATTTTTAGGTCCCAATCCATTTGTTTACTTATTGTTTCCACTCTAAGTAATACAAGGTTCTTGTTATATAACAGGGTAATCTGCAGCAGTACATCTCAAGGACCTGTTATTATGGTTTAACCATACTTGTAAATATAATACAGTACATGTTCCTGGTACATTTGTAAACACTTCACAGAGAACTATTATTGTTATTATGATTAAATATTATAATTTCTACATTCACATGATGAAAAAATTAAACGAAAAACTGTCAAATATTCACAAACAGAGCATGTAATTTGCTGGTACCGTGATTATCAGTGTGCACACAGAATCCATCAATACGACTCTCATTTGTTCTCTCGATACTCTACGGGCCGAGGAGAAAAAAAAAGGTCATAACAAAAGGTCCAGGTACGTGTGTAATTACACAGGACCCGATTAATTTGACCTGTGAGCCACAAGTGGCAAAACGAACGAGTCTACTGGCCATTAGGAATAAGAGTGCCATACACGTACCGGTATGAAGTATCTACTTATGAAGTAGGCTGTGAATTCCCTGCATTATACATGCGCTGGGGGCTCAGTACGTACATACAGTGTACTGTATGTACACAACGTCATTGCGTAGTTGGGACAAAAAATTAGTTCAGAATCCCATTACGTATAGATGCCACTTAAAGACAGGGTACACTTGTAGGTATGGTACAGCAGGTGGGCCAAAATGTTTCTGGCTTTATTTTGTACTGATTCGGGGAGACTGGGTGGCATTTAAATATGGTTCCAACGACAAACCGGTACCATATATACAACACTTCAAAGGTTAGAGCCGGTATACATGTAGTTGTACATGTACATGTATACAGAAATACCCGGTGCACTGTACATGTAAATGTACATACATACTGGTAAGTCTCTTGAACCTTTTGGCACCACATTCAAACCACAATTCACAATTTTTTTCTGTATTTCAAACTTTACTTTTTTCCCCAAATTTCCCCTTCCCACTCAAAAAAAACCCCCAACTTCAGGGTCACACCATGACAATATGTGTACATGTACACGTAGATTGGGAAGCACGAGGAATAACTATTTATTGGGCCTAAACTTGCTAGCTTCAAATGCATGCACAACAAGTACTCTTACTAGTACATGTACGTACACTGAAGTGTATAGCCAGATACACATGGAAGTGAAAATTCTTGAGACTACACGTACATGAATAAATTTCTCAATTTTCTTGAATGTGTCAAGTGCATGTACTTGTACTCCATTATACGGGTATTTTGTAGAAGTGCGCCCTCAAGAGTTTGCACGTGTTGTCCACTCACAATGCGCGAAATCTTTCGACCCTTTGCAAATGTGCACTGGGTCAACAGATTTCGCCCATTGTGATTGGCCAACGCATTGCAAACTCTTGGTGGTGCACTATTGTGAAGCGCCCAAATTGTGGGTGTTCCTGTATTGTGTGCGTTTACATACATGTACATAATGTACATGTCCAGCAGTGTACATACATGTACATGTACATTCCAGAGGATGTGCTTTGATTAGCTGAAGAGAACGTTAACCGTTCAGATTTTTTGTTGCTAGAGCACCAGTGATACAAAGTACCGAAACATGAGCATTGACACCGTTTCCCTTTTTAAATGTGATATCAATGTAAATCCCATCTGCAGGTTAATAAAGAGACATTTATAACATTGTAAAAGACACTCTTTACTGAGCCAAACCTGAAGCATGCATCCAAGGGAGGGTGGAAGAGGTAGAAAGGTTGGGAGAGGTAGAGAGGTCAATGGAAGGCATGGCCTTCCTTCAAAAAGCAATGTACATGTACACAAGAGGGACTGTCCTGAACTGAAATTGAGAAAATGTCATCATTTTTTTAAATACAAGAAAAGACAAGAGAAAGGCTGCCCATTTTGTAAATGAACTTTAATGACAACTTCCATACCTTCACCTTTCACACTAACAGCCAGCAACCGAAAAATTGAACAGTGTCTGGCTATCACCTGTGCTGCTCCCCACTCACCATGGAGGGTGTTCCTTCCTCCATGCACTCACTCAGAGCATATGTAGCCAATAGTCTGTAACAGCAGGTTGTTTATGGACAAAATTGGCCTTACATGACACCCATGCAGTTCATCACCAGAACCATTCCCAAGCTGATCAGTGCCGTGTTCATGTTCAGTATGAGGTTCCCTCTCTCCTCCATCACTCAGCAGGGGCTTATAGGGCCCAGCGGCGGTACTCCTGTGCTAACAGTCTGCTACCCCATCCATACTGTTTCCATAGCAACAGGTGATAGTTCGTGGGGGAACCTTTTTTTGTTGTGTATTCTCACATTTTTGGCATGCTTAACGGTTGGGGGATCTTGGAAGCTCATAACCAAGCCACTCGCTGGGCACTGCTTGGGAGGTTACAAGGGTGACTGTCAAGTTCAAGTTTGGTTCAGTAAAAGCTCTCATGAGCATTTTGTTTTTAAGAGCTCTGGGACAGCACTCAGTTAACAATGTTATGAATATTTACATCAGTGTGAAGGGCAAAACCCATAATAATTAACTTCTCCCTCACCAAAAGTTCCAGCATGTCTTTGGAAATGGTTCCGCAAGGTTCTGGGAATTCTGTCCAAAGTGTGAGTCAGAATTGGCAAGCCGCAAATTTGCTGTAAGTCTTGGTCTTCGCCAGGTGCACAAGACACTTTCAGCAGGTACATGTACATGTATGGTACATGAACTGTAGACTCAAACCCCTCATTTGGCAAGACACCACAAGAGCATGATGCAATAGTGAGTGAGTGATTCACGGTCACACCACCAAGAGGTCAGCCAGGAAACCTTTGCATTCTCCCACACATGGGGAAACCTTCCCACATCTTTCCAGAAGCAAACCCTTCGTGCATTGGGTATTTTCTCTTGCAAACTGATGCAAAAAAAGATGTCAGTGCTTAAATGGGAAATGTTAATGGGCGACTCTGAGTTAATGACGAATGAGAAGAAAACAGAACAGCCTTACGTGTCAATCAAGACTCGTGACAGAAAAAATAATTTATGTCCCCATCCGAGAGTACATGAAGCTCATGCACACTGGTACATGTCCAGCACGATGACTGCAGAATTTCAAAAGTAGCAGCTACGCATGATCACTGTAGAGACATCTTCGTACTGGATCAAAGAAACTTTAGTGGTCCACAAGTGTACCTTTGCAGCTTACCAACATACCCCATGTTGCACACATATGTAAACTGAACCAACAACGGCCTTTTACACATGTTCATGTTCCAGTATGTGTGGCGCTCTACATGTAGTTCTGGCACCTCATGTGTGCACAGAACACAGCATATGTGCATCATTTATGTGTCAGCATCACATTTATTTGTCTATTAATTGTAAGATTCTCGTACATGTATTGTACGGGTACTCAGGAGCACCTCAGATGGTTCTAGTAATTTTGCCTCATCTGCAATGACGGACACTTAAAACCCTCGGACAACTTGCTATATTGCTGAGAAAGGCACACTTCAACCTGACAAGATGCTGTGGAGAGCCTGCGCCAGTGGCACCCCTTCACCTTATTTGCAGAGCTTCCTCAAGAAGGGCCGCATCTTCTTCGACTCTTCTGAACGCGCATCTACCAAGGTACGCGTGCATGTACAGAGGCCGACGATTCAGTGATTTATTTCTGCCGTGGACCTCCTCTTTTGTTCACTGTTGGCTCATCTCCTTTTCTCTGTAGCTAGTTTCCTTCGTCTTGCCTAGAGAATATACATATCTGAATTGAAGCCAAGCAGAAACCTTGTTGTCTCCCCGCGCCACATTTGTTAACTTTTAAGTACGCAGGCAAATCAATTTATAAGGGACACTGTGGAAGTAATCGGAGGGTGAATTATTTAGACAAGGAAAATGCTCAAACAATGTTCATGTTTCGTCTGTAATTGATGGAGATCTGAAGAAGTACATTTACATTTGCAGTGTCGTTCAGACAAAAAAGGCGCAGGTACCATGAATGAGTGGAAAATGCCCCACATATGACAGGTCTTTCATTCTCTGAGTACATCTACATTGTAGCATTAAAGGGACAGTTTCCAGGGCTGATCATGGTTGACTTAACGGCACACATGAATTGGGAAAAGGTTACTCTGGCTTAGTGACATTTACCACAAAAGTCTGATGTTTACAGAACTTTAGGGCACAACATCCCTCCCTTTACCTCCTCCCCCAATTTATCTTAATGGTCTTACGGTAGGTTCTTGTGCATGTACAAACTGACTAAACAGGTTCATATCAAGAAATCCACTTCAAAAGAAGCAGTCACTGTCTCCAAGCTGGTATACTTGCATCCAACTACATGTACATAATTACACGGCACAGTGCACAAGAACCTTGTTGACTTGAGTCTAGAGGACAATGTACAAAATATGCAAGGCCATGAAAACCTTTATGTACTGTCATGACTGTTGGCTCCAACTCCGGCACTTTGC